GCTGCACACCTCTCAGTAGATTCTCTTCCACCTCTGAATGTTCCATCCTTGTCTCTGTAGGTGAAATAATTTTTTTATGTTTCTGTTTTTTGCTCTCCTGCTACTCTTCTGAATATCTCTTGGTATCTCATCTACTCTCATTAATTCACTTTAAAACAATATGCTTACAGATCTCAAGTCCCTATTTCCAGACGTGGCAATAGGAATGGAAATGAAAGAGAATATCATATTTGTTCTATCTCTCTGGTTAGTTTGTAAATTATCAGTGCTGAAACTATGGACAGCACCTGTTACAGTGGTTTGCATACTGAGGCCAATTAGATAATAATTAAACCTGGCAGAAAACTGTATTTTAATTCCTTGTACTTGGGTAGGGGTGTCAAGAGGCAGCAATAGTATGAAACAGAGAGGTAATATTTTTTAATTTCAGATAACAAAATGTAACATCTGTTTCTTCTACAATCTATAAAACAACTCCAAAATTACAATCTACAGTGCCCTCTACATTAGGGGTCTTCAACCCCCTGGCCAAGGATCAGTACTGGTCTGTGGCCTGCTAGCAACCAGACTGCACAGCAGGAGATAAGCAGCAGGTGGGCAAGCAAAGTTTCATATGTATTTATAGCCACTCCCCATTGCTCGCATTAGTGCCTGAACTCCCTCTCTTGTCAGATCAGCAGTGGCATTAGGTTCTCATAGCAGGGCAACCCTATTTTCAACTGTGTAAGTGAGGGATCTAGGTTACATGCTCCTTATGAGAATCTAATGCGTAATGATCTGTCATTGTCTCCCATCACTCCCAGATGGGACTGTATAGTTGCAGGAAAACAAGCTCAGGGCTCACATTTATTCTACATCACAGTGAGTTGTATAATAATTTCATTATATATTACAATGTAATAATAAGAGAAGTAAAGTGCACAATAAATGTAATGTGCTTGAATTGTCCCCAAACCATCTCCCCTCTCCAGTTTGTGGAAAAAATTGTATTCCACAAAACCAGTTCCTGGTGCCAAAAAGATTGGGGACCACTGCTCTAAATAATAGTCTGCCATTCAATATATGTACTTGAACAATAAAAGAAACAAATTAAAACATCTACAAATAACTGGATTCATGTTAAAGTATTTTAACCTTCAACTGTGCTTATTTCTGCAAAAGAAGAGCTGAAACCTCAGCTACTTATATTTCATCACCTTATAATGGAACTTAATCAATTTACTAGCAGAATCTGCTTGAATATTATTCTACTTAATGATCCTGTCTCTTGGTGAGTAAAGCTCACTGTTATGATTCCTCAGCATTTATAATATTATGCTGTGCTGAATATGGGCTTTCTCCAAATCTATTATTGCATGCTTTTCTCTCTCTCTTTGCCTCTCTCAGGCTCTTATTTATCCATCACACACACACACACATTCACACAGAATAAGCTGCTTACCATTCAGACAGAATTGCCTGTTTTCAATTCTGGGTTTCAGTTTTTTATGATTTAACATTAAACATTTTTAATCTATATGGGTTATTATTTACCCATACATATTATGCATATTACACATCATAACCTATAGTGGACGGGATAGCTTTTTCACTCCCCTTCTGGGAAATATTCCAGTTAACAATATGGTTAGAGTGTGTGCTGCCCCATTTTCAGACCCTGTAGCTATGGACACAGCTGTTTGATTCAGGTTTGGGTACCTACCTGAAGGAAGGCAAATCAAATATTTTCCCTAGTATCTTTAAACTTGGCACCATGCAGCATGTGTTTCAGTCCTTCTCTGGTAGAGAATATATGAATCTGGAGTTGGTGGCTGATATGGTTTGTCTGTATCCCCACCTAAATCTCATTTGGAATTACCATGTGTTGTGGGAGGAACCTGGTAGGAGATAATTGAGTCATTGGGGGAGGTCTTTCCCATGCTGTTCTCATGGTAGTGAATAAGTCTCATGATATCTGATGGTTTTATAAGGGGGAGTTTCCCTGCACCAGCTCTCTCTTTGCCTGCTGCCATCTATGTAAGATGTGACTTGCTCCTCCTTGCCTTCTGCCATAATTGTGAGGCCTCCCCAGTCATGTGGAACCATAAGTCCATTAAACCTCTTTCTTTTGTTAATTGCCCTGTCCCAGGTATGTCTTTATCAGACTGACTAATACTGTGGCCATTTCTACTCTGTGAGAAAGGTTGGAGGAAATTAAGGCAACCCACATAAAGAAGCAAAAATAAGGACTGCAGAGAGGGTTCTGATGGAGTCCAGTCACTAGTTCTGATTGGCCTTGCAGTTAGCTCTAGACAGCAATTCCTGTATTTTGATTACAAGAGCCAATATATTTTTCTGTCTCTCTGATTGAGTTTGAATTAGCTTTCAATCATTCACAACTAGAGTCCTGACTAAAGGTATGTTCTGTGAGCTTAAATTTGGATTTGCTCATTTATTTTTATCTACTTTTTAATGTTTCTTATAAGGGAGAATGCGTACTCTATTTAATTAGCTGACAGATTGTGGAATTGTGATATACAAATCGATTAAATTTATTCTGTGGCAGAAGAGAGAATTGTTCTCCTAAGAAACCTTTATATATCCTTGCTTCCTCATTGTTCCCTGGTATTAAAGTTTCATGTCTTCAGTTTATGTGTCTATAATGAGGAACCCACATAAGACTAAATCATTTAGGACAACATTTTGCTGGGTGAGGTATTTGCCTTGGCTACCCATTCTGGATACCAGAATTTTGATGGCATTGTTAAACTGGGGCAAATTCAACTGAAAAACAATGACAAAACGAAAACCCCAAACCAAACCCGACTATTAATAGTTCTTGAGGGGTTTCATATGCTGGGATTTTATAAAAAAAAATTTGTTTAGCTCTGCTCATCTCTCATAAAAGATGTAGAACTGCCTAGTTTACCATGAAACAAATATGATGTTATATACAATAATAATCAAAATGAACATTCAGTAGTGCTTTGGTACAAATGTTTAATTTTTCTCATCTATGAATTGGTTTAAAAAATTCAGCTGTGTAGAAGGACATTTTCATGTGTGTCTCAGTTTTCATCTCTTGACCCCCGATTCTGGTGTCCCTCAGATTTTACCCTAGGCCAATCTACAGTGGAAGTCTTGCCTTTTATAAATGGCAGTATATCATCATTCTCTGCTAGTCTTATAGCTCCACCTCAGAAGCAGATAAATTATTAAATGATGGCTGAGGTGGGGATATGCCACTCATGTTACTGTCTTAATTCATTGTCTGAAGAAGGACTTCTTGCTCTGTCACTCAATCCTATGCCTTTGAACATTTTCTGTTGCCCCCTTTTATTTCTGGCACATAATCCAAATGGTAAGTAAACTTTTACTGTTTTAAATGTTGGCAACTTATAAGCCAGCTTTGAGCTCAGAAGGAAAAACCTCTGTCCACAAGCAAGGTCAAACTACTTCTCTTGTAAGCTACTATAGTTCAGAAGCTTGGAGTATGACTCTCTTAACTATTTTACAACTACCCAAAGTAAGGCAAGAAATTAGACATTGGAAGGCCATTGAATTAGAAATTCTTGAAATCTAGGAAAAAATAAGAACTAACCTAATCAGTCATTTACTTCTTGATATAATAGGCCCATATCATTTGGGGAGAATAGGTTTTATAAAAAGGAAGAGCAACTATTAAGATAGTAGTCTTTGAAGGGAATGGGGAAAGAACTCTAAAAAAAGGATCACAAGAAAGCAGGAAAAGTAAGAGTTTCTCCTTCACAGTTTTCCTATGATGGCCCTCAATATACAATTCAAAAAAAAAATCTCCAATGACTTTAATAGACAATCCTCCATTTGTTTCTCTGTTAAATCTTCATAATTCTGCTAAACTGAATTCAGTTTTCTGAAAAATATGAAACTAACTCTCTTGGGTTTATAATAACTATAAAAGATACATATGAAAATATTGAGGATATATATGAGTCACAGGAATGTATCTATGTACCATTTTAAGCTAAGTCATGTCTTCAAAAACTATTAAAATCTCTTGGCTCCCTTATCTACAAAGATTCTAATACTTCGTTCTCTTATATCAGCAAGTGTTTTCCAAACTTGGGAGCTTTAAAATATACAGATTTTGAGGCTCTAGCACTAAAAGCCAGAAGCAAGACATTTTCTTTATTTTAAGGATTATACTGACATAACAAAAGAAATTTAAATTAAAAACACCCCAAATTTTATCATTAATTCAAACCAATGTTTTTATATATCCATGCTACTTTTAATTTTTGTGCATATTTTATTTTAACATATTTGCAATAACATTAAATGCCATACTTTTTTACACTTCAACTATTATAATGTGCATACTTTTCCAATGTGCTTTTATTTTTTATTTCGCTAACTGCCCTTGCTTCCTATTCTCACCCTTTCCTGAAAAAAATATATTAATGAGTTTATGTCAATCATCCACACTTTTTCCATGCTTGTCCAAATAAATATTGCAATTTACTCTTCTTTCTTAACAATGCATAATAGACAGTAACCTAATTCAACAGCTATAGATCTAATATATTATTTTTAACAATGGTATAATATTCCATATTTTAATGCCATATTTTTAAAATTATTTCTTTATTGATAGTTATTAAGGGTACTTAATTTTAGTTTCTTCCACCTCTGACTATAAACAAAACTACAAAGCTGCAATAAACTCCTCGGCTCTCATATGCATATATAATATACACTGGTGCTTATATTTTCAAACAATATATTTTTAGAAGTTAAGGATCTATTTATAACATTGTTAGGAGGCAATCAATCAATGAATGGTTTGAAGTGATCTCTAACATTTTTGTGAGTCTGAGAGTCACTTTGTTCTACCTATAATGTTTCCGAAGCTGGGAGCAAACCTCTCAGTGGAGCCCTGTTTTGGCAGTTGTGTGCTGGCCGCAAGAGGAATAGGTGTGCTTTGGACACTTTAAGTACCAAAGCCTATTGTGACTACACAACAAGATCTTGATATAGCTTACATTTTCAGGCGTTCTTCATGATCCATAACAAATGGTTATCACCAAATGAAAAGTTATTTTCCTAGAGGGTAAATAAAACTGCTGTCTTCAAATTTTTTTTTCCAGCACTTGCCCTTTACATTACTTTACCTACTACCTCTGTTCTAAGGAAGTAGAGTTCCCTGGAAGCTCTGGGTCTCCTGGGTAAGCTAACAAGTGAATGAGGGGTCAGAGTTCTGGCTATTCAGATGGGAACACACTAAGGTTACCATGGAAACTCTCTGCAGTTCCACCTTGTAATCTTTTGGAACTGAACTCCAGAAGGTGGCCTGACAGAAATCTCAGAGAGATATGATCAATGTGTTTGTCCTATATGAGGTAAAGTTCAATAGATAAAATTTATTAAATAAATTTAAAAAAAAAGAATGAGCACATGGATACCTAGGAGTTTGCTTTATTTTTCTGATTAGCACTAGGATTCTCTTGGATACACATCATTTGTAATTGTAATACTAAAGACTACCACCACAGAGCTATTTTCTCATTACCTGCAAATTGCTATTTTGCTGAATGTTTCATGTAAGTTGCAGGCTCAAATTTCTCATTGCCAGTATATTTTAAAAATCCGTATTATATGCAGTGAATACATGACTTTGGATGCTAATGTCTTAGCAATCAAGCTTCTGTGTTTCTTTCTTTAAAGATTTCTTTGATATAATTATTCATAGTTTTCAGTTTTTATACTATCCACTCAACATATCATTCTCCTGCCCAATTTTCATATTAAATGTTGCTCATTTAAATGAACATTAGATATTTTGATCTCTATGCTTTCTCTTTGTGCTGTATGAAAATCTTGGAAAGCCTCCTCATTTCCCTCTCCATCCCTCTACATCTTTGATTATCAACAACTCCATTATTGTTGATAAGCTGTCTTTAATTATAATTTTAAATTTTAAAATATAAAGGACTACTTTTTTTGTGATTTGCAGTCTGAAATTAATCTCATTCTTCTTTTCTATAATATTATATGTGAATTAGAGGTAAATACTGTGGAAACATGATTTGTTTACAAATATAAGTGAGTTTGTAGTTATTAGTCCCTTTTCCGATTTTCTTTACTATTCAGGACATATTTTAAAAATCAAGGATGCTCACATCCGTTTTCTTTTTTGGTCACAATAGCTAGCATTTTTTTTTTTTAATCATTTTTATCTTTTTTTTTTTTTACTTTATTTATTATTATTATACTTTAAGTTGTAGGGTACATGTGCATAACGTGCAGGTTTGTTACATATGTATACTTGTGCCATGTTGGTGTGCTGCACCCATCAACTCATCATTTACATCAGGTATAACTTGCAATCCCTCCCCCCTCCCCCCTCCCCATGATAGGCCCCTGTGTGTGATGTTCCCCTTCCTGAGTCCAAGTGATCTTATTGTTCAGTTCCCACCTATGAGTGAGAACATGCGGTGTTTGGTTTTCTGTTCTTGTGATAGTTTGCTAAGAATGATGGTTTCCAGCTGCATCCATGTCCCTACAAAGGACACAAACTCATCCTTTTTGATGGCTGCATAGTATTCCATGGTGTATATGTGCCACATTTTCTTAATCCAATCTGTCACTGATGGACATTTGGGTTGATTCCAAGTCTTTGCTATTGTGAATAGTGCTGCAATAAACATACGTGTGCATGTGTCTTTATAGCAGCATAATTTATAATCCTTTGGGTATATACCCAGTAATGGGATGGCTGGGTCATATGGTACATCTAGTTCTAGATCCTTGAGGAATCGCCATACTGTTTTCCATAATGGTTGAACTAGTTAACAGTCCCACCAACAGTGTAAAAGTGTTCCTATTTCTTCACATCCTCTCCAGCACCTGTTGTTTCCTGACTTTTTAATGATCGCCATTCTAACTGGTGTGAGATGGTATCTCATTGTGGTTTTGATTTGCATTTCTCTGATGGCCAGTGATGATGAGCATTTTTTCATGTGTCTGTTGGCTGTATGAATGTCTTCTTTTGAGAAATGTCTGTTCATATCCTTTGCCCACTTTTTGATGGGGTTGTTTGTTTTTTTCTTGTAAATTTGTTTGAGTTCTTTGTAGGTTCTGGATATTAGCCCTTTGTCAGATGAGTAGATTGCAAAAATTTTCTCCCATTCTGTAGGTTGCCTGTTCACTCTGATGGTAGTTTCTTTTGCTGTACAGAAGCTCTTTAGTTTAATGAGATCCCATTTGTCAATTTTGGCTTTTGCTGCCGTTGCTTTTGGTGTTTTAGACATGAAGTCTTTGCCCATGCCTATGTCCTGAATGGTACTACCTAGGTTTTCCTCTAGGATTTTTATGGTATTAGGTCTAACGTTTAAGTCTCTAATCCATCTTGAATTAATTTTCGTATAAGGAGTAAGGAAAGGATCCAGTTTCAGCTTTCTACTTATGGCTAGCCAATTTTCCCAGCACCATTTATTAAATAGGGAATCCTTTCCCCATTTCTTGTTTCTCTCAGGTTTGTCAAAGATCAGATGGCTGTAGATGTGTGGTATTATTTCTGAGGACTCTGTTCTGTTCCATTGGTCTATATCTCTGTTTTGGTACCAGTACCATGCTGTTTTGGTTACTGTAGCCTTGTAGTATAGTTTGAAGTCAGGTAGCGTGATGCCTCCAGCTTTGTTCTTTTGACTTAGGATTGTCTTGGAGATGCGGGCTCTTTTTTGGTTCCATATGAACTTTAAAGCAGTTTTTTCCAATTCTGTGAAGAAACTCATTGGTAGCTTGATGGGGATGGCATTGAATCTATAAATTACCTTGGGCAGTATGGCCATTTTCACGATATTGATTCTTCCTATCCATGAGCATGGTATGTTCTTCCATTTGTTTGTGTCCTCTTTGATTTCACTGAGCAGTGGTTTGTAGTTCTCCTTGAAGAGGTCCTTTACATCCCTTGTAAGTTGGATTCCTAGGTATTTGATTCTCTTTGAAGCAATTGTGAATGGAAGTTCATTCCTGATTTGGCTCTCTGTTTGTCTGTTACTGGTGTATAAGAATGCTTGTGATTTTTGCACATTAATTTTGTATCCTGAGACTTTGCTGAAGTTGCTTATCAGCTTAAGGAGATTTTGGGCTGAGACAATGGGGTTTTCTAAATATACAATCATGTCATCTGCAAACAGGGACAGTTTGACTTCTTCTTTTCCTAACTGAATACCCTTGATTTCTTTCTCTTGCCTAATTGCCCTAGCCAGAACTTCCAACACTGTGTTGAATAGGAGTGGTGAGAGAGGGCATCCCTGTCTTGTGCCAGTATTCAAAGGGAATGTTTCCAGTTTTTGCCCATTCAGTATGATATTGGCTGTGGGTTTGTCATAAATAGCTCTTATGATTTTGAGGTACGTTCCATCAATACCGAATTTATTGAGCGTTTTTAGCATGAAGGGCTGTTGAATTTTGTCAAAAGCCTTTTCTGCATCTATTGAGATGATCATGTGGTTCTTGTCTTTGGTTCTGTTTATATGCTGGATTATGTTTATTGATTTGCGAATGTTGAACCAGCCTTGCATCCCAGGGATGAAGCCCACTTGATCATGGTGGATAAGCTTTTTGATGTGTTGCTGAATCCGGTTTGCCAGTATTTTATTGAGGATTTTTGCATCGATGTTCATCAGGGATATTGGTCTAAAATTCTCTTTTTTTGTTGTGTCTCTGCCAGGCTTTGGTATCAGGATGATGTTGGCCTCATAAAATGAGTTAGGGAGGATTCCCTCTTTTTCTATTGATTGGAATAGTTTCAGAAGGAATGGTACCAACTCCTCCTTGTATCTCTGGTAGAATTCAGCTGTGAATCCATCTGGTCCTGGACTTTTTTTGGTTGGTAGGCTATTAATTATTGCCTCAATTTCAGAGCCTGCTATTGGTCTATTCAGGGATTCAACTTCTTCCTGGTTTAGTCTTGGAAGAGTGTAAGTGTCCAGGAAATTATCCATTTCTTCTAGATTTTCCAGTTTATTTGCATAGAGGTGTTTATAGTATTCTCTGATGGTAGTTTGTATTTCTGTGGGGTCGGTGGTGATATCCCCTTTATCATTTTTAATTGCGTCGATTTGATTCTTCTCTCTTTTCTTCTTTATTAGTCTTGCTAGTGGTCTGTCAATTTTGTTGATCTTTTCAAAAAACCAACTCCTGGATTCATTGATTTTTTGGAGAGTTTTTTGTGTCTCTATCTCCTTCAGTTCTGCTCTGATCTTAGTTATTTCTAGCCTTCTGCTAGCTTTCGAATGTGTTTGCTCTTGCTTCTCTAGTTCTTTTAATTGTGATGTTAGAGTGTCAATTTTAGATCTTTCCTGCTTTCTCTTGTGGGCATTTAGTGCTATAAATTTCCCTCTACACACTGCTTTAAATGTGTCCCAGAGATTCTGGTATGTTGTATCTTTGTTCTCATTGGTTTCAAAGAACATCTTTATTTCTGCCTTCATTTCGTTATGTACCCAGTAGTCATTCAGGAGCAGGTTGTTCAGTTTCCATGTAGTTGAGCGGTTTTGATTGAGTTTCTTAGTCCTGAGTTCTAGTTTGATTGCACTGTGGTCTGAGAGACAGTTTGTTATAATTTCTGTTCTTGTACATTTGCTGAGGAGTGCTTTACTTCCAATTACGTGGTCGATTTTGGAGTAAGTACGATGTGGTGCTGAGAAGAATGTATATTCTGTTGATTTGGGGTGGAGAGTTCTATAGATGTCTATTAGGTCTGCTTGCTGCAGAGATGAGTTCAATTCCTGGATATCCTTGTTAACTTTCTGTCTCGTTGATCTGTCTAATGTTGACAGTGGAGTGTTGAAGTCTCCCATTAGTATTGTATGGGAGTCTAAGTCTCTTTGTAAGTCTCTAAGGACTTGCTTTATGAATCTGGGTGCTCCTGTATTGGGTGCATATATATTTAGGATAGTTAGCTCTTCCTGTTGAATTGATCCCTTTACCATTATGTAATGGCCTTCTTTGTCTCTTTTGATCTTTGATGGTTTAAAGTCTGTTTTATCAGAGACTAGTATTGCAACCCCCGCTTTTTTTTGTCCTCCATTTGCTTGGTAAATCTTCCTCCATCCCTTTATTTTGAGCCTATGTATGTCTCTGCGTGTGAGATGGGTCTCCTGAATACAGCAGACTGATGGGTCTTGACTCTTTATCCAGTTTGCCAGTCTGTGTCTTTTAATTGGAGCATTTAGTCCATTTACATTTAAGGTTAAGATTGTTATGTGTGAACTTGATCCTGCCATTATGACATTAACTGGTAATTTTGCTCGTTAGTTGATGCAGTTTCTTCCTAGCCTCGATGGTCTTTACATTTTGGCATGTTTTTGCAATGGCTGGTACCAGTTGTTCC